AAGAGTAAAGTTAAATAAATAACAATAGAATAAAAAAAAGTCCACTAAAACAGTTCTAAAAACTATAATTACTGCTTCTCCCTCTGAAAAGAGGAAATCCAATTTTTGAAACTTTTAAATACTTTTACTCTCCCTGACTTCATTAGGTTGGCTATTCCATTCATTGACAATTCTATTGAAATAGCTTTATTTATGTACGTCAGTCAGTCTAAATTGATGATTAAAAACAAGGTCAAGCCAAAAATTCCGGCTTTCTTAAAAGAGGGCATCGGTACAAGTTTTCCTTGTAGTGATTTGTGAGATCGTTTGAACGGAGAATTGTTAGATGATTGCTCGTTGGTATCTAAAGGTTATCAATAAAAGAAATTATTAACAATAATTTTGCGTGCGTTGCAGAAGTTTGAATTACGCGCCCTTCATCTTCTTGCACATGTTCGCCTTTTAATTTCCTTTACCTCCTTCAAACACCCGCCAGATAATTATTGAAGATCGAGAAGGGTGCAAGATAATTCAAAACATTTGCCTGCTCCTCAACAGTGAAGAATATAAACGGCCTACTTTTTTTTGTTTTAGTTTGTTCGTTTGTTTGCAGATATTCCTCTAAAGGTTGATGACATCTACGGCGTGATTTTTTTTGTGTATTCTTGCTATCGATTTTAGTCACTAATTCGGCCATTAAGTCTTCACTTTGAAAGCTGTAAAACCCTCCTTTAAACTGCCCAAACTTAATTGTCGCGACATTATCTGGTGTGAAGTCAATCGTGGATAATTTTGCTATTATTCCACTGGAGCCATTCACTGACGTCACTTGTTAAATAATTTAGCTTGCGCAGCGTCTCCCTCACGCTCGCTCGTTCTTTCTTGCGCCCATTTGTTTCTACCGCCTTCTACCCAGGCTAGGAGTAATAGCAAACAGCCACTAATGGGCTCCTGCAGCAAATATCTTCAAGTGAATCTTGGGTTCTGATTGGCCACAAAAGCGGACCATGTAGCTCTTTCTTTCAGTTTTGTTTCCGTAAGATTCAGCCATCTTGACAGAAGGATATTAGATACTTAAAGGCCCGGGGGCAGAATCCCTCTAAAGGCCTTTGGGAAGGCTCCGCCCGAAAGGAATACCTTTTACGGGCCTCAGGTATATGAAAGGGTTGGTAAATCGGTAATTTCGATCGATTTAACCCCAAAAAGGCTAACAAATGCATTTTATCGTTGTGAGATAGTCGGAAAACGTTATGTTTTTGCGATTTACTCATATTTTGAATAAAGTGCCCTTACAGCCGTTAAAAAGGGATGCAAAGTTGGAAACTTGGTATGTGAAAGGGGTACCATTTGCCAATAAAAACAAAACTGAATGCAAGGCTGGCAATACAGCAAAGGGCTGATTTATTTCAGACCAATATTTCAGCTCTGAGGAAGGCTAATTTTGTTAGCAGAAATATCCATTGGCCATTCATTCAGCCCTTTGCCGTATGACCAGCGTTGCATTCAGTTTTGTTTTAATTCCCAATTCATGTGAAGTCTGGCAGTAGCATCTCTGCATTAGAGATCGAACAAGAAAGAACAGTCGCTTTTATTTAAGCGTTAAGTGGACCTCTGCATTCAAATATTTTACTACATGCCAATAAAAGGTACACAAAAGGGGTACCTTTTATGTCAAAAATGGTATATACCATGTGGAACGAAATTTGTGCGAGAGTCTATTTTTGCGGATTGGCGATTTTTTGTGTTTTGCGGGAACTAATTTTTGTGAAAAGGACAGATTGGTTTTTCCAGCTGGGAATTAATTGTTGCGATTGTCAGAAAGTACCCAGTACCCGGCATTGATAATATTCTCGTTTTTATTGAGTACGTGCAATAGAAATACACATTTTCAAACAATAAACCAGTATTTCGTTGTTTCTGAATGAAAGAGACAAGTTGTGATTGAACAGACACGATTTCTTAGTACTGTATTTTTGGGTAGAGAATTTAAGTTAGAGAATAGTTACTCTGAATTAAATTTTTGCCGAAAAAAGTTTGCGGTAATTTTTATTTGCGGGAACTTATTTTGGCGGATCGCTGAAAAAACCGCAAAAATCGCCAAAATTAGAACCCGCAAAAATTTCGTGCCACACGGTAATCAGAAAGGGGTAAGGGGTTGGACCTCGAGGCAGAGCGAGTTCGCTTGCGAAATGACCGATCATTTTGGCATGCGTTCTTAGAAATCACCGTCTGGTGATGTCATCAACACGTTCAGTACGAAGCGTGTTAGTTTTCTTCTACGGAAAGTTGGTTTCCTTGCCACGGTTCTCGCTACTTTGGCAGTAAACTGCCGTTTCTTAGCCATTTTTCAGATTCTTAAAACTTGTTTAATATTTTTCAGCCGCCAAATTTAAAGATAAGGCGGATTAACTGGACATTTTTCTCATCACCGTGAACAAACTGCTTCAAAAGTGCTGCTTTGGGAACCCAAACATGGTTACCCAAATCGAGGTAGACCAAGAACAAGAGGTGCATGATTTTATAATTTCATAGGATTTGGGCTTGCCTTGCTTGTTTGGCCTGAGCCGCGCTCACTTGGGTTTAGTTTAAGATATTTTACCCCTACTCTCAAGTCAAGAGGGCTAGGGTCAGCTACTAAAAAAAGTTTAATTGGGAAGGGATTTCTACCGGCGAAATCGTTGCTAAGTAAGGTGGACTTCCTCCGCGCGCTTCGTTAGTCGGAATCTGTAGAGGAGAGAGCCCTGGGGATAGGGGTAGAAGCTAAAGAAGCCAGCGGATTCAAAATATGCGTCATGTAACACCAAAATGGCGCTCTTCTGAACAGGCTACTTTCAACGTTGGAGAAGTTAGTATACCTTGGAGAAGTCGTGAGCTAACAGGTAAGGCTTTTCTAGCCGTTCACTTGTCTTACATGTGACAGGACACGATCCATGCGAAAAATGAAAGTAGCGTGCACTATTCATGCAACCTCTTCAGAGCCATTGAGTGGATTTGTACTTTGATCGACTCAGTTTTCTTTGCATCAACACGTGTGGTTTTGTCAATCACAGCGTTTATGGAAGAGTCAAGATGAGTCAGTCTTCGTCGTCCAATGAAGTTTCTAATTTCTAGGAAAGGATCGGCTTATTTATTTAAGGCTGGTATATTAAAATTGCCTTCTTTTAATGGGCACACATTTTTTTTCAAGAATGATAGCAGTGTCATATAACTTAACGTGGCAGTCTAGCTTGTCACATATATACATCCACGAGGGCTATTAAAGCTCTCACCAAAAATGTCACTGGGGTTTTGTAAGTGTTCATTATTCATAGAGACACTTAATTTAGTGGTCAGTGTAAGCAAAAGTACAAATAGTAAATCTTTGGGGTCAGATTGGTTGTGATCATTTTCACGTCATCTTTGTCTAACCCCCAATGGTGCATCCAGCACAGTCCTAAATCCTGTTATCTCAAATATTGATGTAATGTTATCCTTAAAATCCCTCTTCACAAATTATATAAAATAAAAGCTATCAGATGTAACAAACTCATAAACTTACCAGCAATACTACTCAATCTGTTTACTTTGTTTTTAGTAAATGATTATTTAGTCACCCCTTAATGAGGGCATTTCTGGGGTGCAAAGTCCACGCTTTCACAATACTGCTGCTCTTGGGTGCCTCTAGCATAGATTTAGACCTAGAGCTTTCGTAGGGGTGGTTTATGGGGTACATTTATTGAGCCCCCTAACCTAAAACCATTAATGCCTGAAACCCATTGATAGTAACTAGAAAAATTCAAACAGTTACATTTAAACAGCCTTGTAGTAAAATTCTGGAAGTGCCCCAGTATTTGTGTAAATTAAATTACACTTCTCAACCTAGCAACATACTTTGTTACTGGAGAAGGGGCTGGTACTCCCTATAATGACCTATGGGGGAAGTCTCCGCCCAAAAGGGGGTACCTTGTTCCGGTTTCAGGTATATGAAAGGGTAGGGACTTCACTGTTTGAAGAAATCTGTCATTTCGTTTTGTAAAAAGGCCCAAAACAGCTAACAGATGCAGTGCTGTCAACTCTCCCAGATAATCCGGGAGACTCCAGATTTTGAGCCAGATCTCCTAATGTCCAGATTAGAGTCTTAAATCTCCCGGATATATAATCACCAAAGTTTTGCCATTTCTTGTAGACTCAACTCTCTGACAATGAAATTTCAAATATTTTGCGTTTATTGAGCTATTTTATTAACATTAAATGTGGTTGGTGGCAAGTTAATCAATCCGGTCAAATGTTACAATAATTTTATTCCAACATCTTTTTTGTGCGGTTTTGGAGAAGTGATGTCATGTGCTGTGAATTATGATAATCAATAATCTCAATTTTTGAATACTTAAGGGGTTGACAGCCCTGCAGATGCATTTTATGGCTGTGAAAGAGTCGAGAAATAACAGGGTGCAAAGGAAGTAATTTTTACAGCTTTCCATTTGGGCAAGCTGAAGCTAGTAGTTACTAGCCTAAACGTCATTTCGACTAGCCCCAAAAAAATTTTGATGAGCAGAATTGATTTCACAGTTCTTCTGTCTCATGCCACAGTCTACTATATGTTAAGACTGACACACTAACTACCATTAGACAACACCTTTCTGCATACACCATACTGTTTGACAGTCCGAAAGACTGTTTATATTGTGTAATGTTAATTTTGAAGTGTTCTACGGGCTACTTTTGAATTCTGCTCACCAGATGTAACTTTTTTTTGTTTTTGTTTTGCAGACCAGCATAACTGACAAAGGAGTCACACAATGAGTCTGTTGTCGTTCATTAAACGATTACCGATTGTTTGGTTATGGCTTGTATTGGTATTCTTAGCCAGTGGTCTTATTATCAACTTATTTCAGCTTCTCTTGTTGCCACTCTGGTTTATAAAGAAAGACTTGTTCAGATGGGCCAACCTAAATGTGGTTTACCTGCATTGGTGCCGTAAGTACATGATTACACGTATAGACCTGTTAGTCTCAGATAACCGAAGGTTTCGCAGTGCACGCGACAACGATCAAAGGCCAAAACGCTTTGCTCAAATGCTGTGCTTTGCCCAAGTTTCATGTGATAGATGGTCAAAACACGCATGATTTATTACAAGTGATAGAAGTTGCAAATGCACTCGATCAGATTGCATTTGATGCATTCCATTCATTTTTAATGGAAGCCTAAATGAAGCTGGCTACATACGTGCAGTTCATGCATAATAGCATTTTGAAGATTAGGATTGTGGGCTCCTCCTTTCACCCACAAAAATAAATTATTTCTAAAATGTTGTTTCTTTGCTCTGGCAAAATTGACATGTAACATAATTATGGCCACAACTAATTGCTAATGCAGTTAAATTCTCAGTATGATTTTTCAAGCTTCTTCAGATCACTCCACCCAGATCCTCTGTGATTATGGCAAACTGCCCATAAATGTGGCTAAATGTAATTTAGGCTAAGTTAAACGTGAGACAATGCTGGCCAGCGGTGGCCTTGTGACCTTATAAACAGCCAAAAGGTCCAATCCCTCATCTTAATTCCGTGATAAGGAGGGATAACCGATCACAGCTGGCAGTTTGACTTATTCTAGCTGATGAATTTTTGAAAGATTGGTCATTATTACTCTGTTTTTAAAAGCTCTGAGCTTATACTGTAGGTAATGTAAATTTTACAAATACCAATTATTTTTTATTATTTCTAACAAAATAAAATTATTTAATCAGAGATTTTTAGCAAAAGGATGGTATATATCTTGGATCCTTCCTCTTGCTTGAAGTTTTTTATTCCCTTTTATCAGCATAATTGTGTTTTTCCAGCGCAAAAGCAATCAGATTTAACTTCACTTGATTCTCGATCCTTTTGAGGATCATGGATAGAGAATTGAGTTGGGAATTGAGACTCATCAAACTAGAACAGCCTTAAAGTTTGTTAAATTTCTAGTACATATGATAGACCATTTCAGGGTTCCTGTGGGCCTCTGTATCAAAACGAGGTTAAGCGCTCAGCTTTTGATATGGAAATGATTCTTCATTCTCCTGCAATTAAAACTCATTTTCACAAGAAAGGTTGTGCACTTGGCCTCATTTCGAAGGTGAGGGTTTTTGGAACTTGGAAGTGGGCTGTTGGCTCTCTTCTCTCGATATTTGATTGCTTCAAGATTCTACAGCCGTTGCTCAAGTTTTGAGTAAATTTCTTACTTCTCCCATGTTAGAAAAGACTTTTCTTCCATATACAAATTAACAAACTCTACTCAACATTTGATTCATGCAAGAAATGCCTGAATGGATTATGCAAATTCAAGATAGTAGTTGGCAACTCTCCAGAGAATGGCTCAAGTGATGTGTTGTGTTGAAAGCTGAAAAAATAATGGTCGAATGGCATTTTGCATCATGTTAATAGCAAGCGTTGTCAGTTTCACCAGTTGAACAGCAATCACTGACTTTTTGTCAAATGTAAAATCAAAAGGAAGCTTGTGTAAATAAATTAATGTCACACCAGGCAGCAGTGTTTGAACTAAGCTGCAAAGTGCTTCTTGTTGTTTTGTTCTTAGGCTTAATTTTTTTAATTCTTCTTGCCATTTTTTTTCCATTGCCAGCTGTTTGTGTATGTCCATCAGCATGTATCTTCAGAATGTACTGTAACAGTATAATGTATGTACTGCACATGCTGCATGTGTCTTATGCCAGACACATGATTATAAAAATATATAATATTTTCATAAATAAATTTCTTTTTTACTCTAATTACTGTTTGTCCTGGGCAGCAGCCCACTAATCCAGGACTGGTAAACTAGATTTGGGTTGTTGAAATTAATTTTAAATGTCACTATGTTTGGCTTGTTCATGTCAAATGATTTGGGAAAAATAAGGGAAAAGTGAATGGACAGGTTCCATGGATTAGTAAAGCAAAAGGTGTTATTGTACAACATAGATTTCTGGTCAGTGAACAGGTGAAAGATAAGGCAAAAAGACCAGCTTCTTTTGGTCATATTAATCTTGGTAATAAGTGCAGCATACGATTCATTGCTGTGCATGACGAGTTTGTACTTAAAATTTTACCAGAACCCCTGATTAGGTATCAAGGCTAGCTAATGGCTAACTCGTTACCAGATTAGTACAAAAAACTGTAGGTGAAATAAGGGGAACATGATTACTTACTTGTAAGGCTCAAACTTCTATGCAAATTATTCTGGGATATACCCACACCCTCAGAAGAGTTGTAAATTATTATTGGACTCTTTTTCATGTGAAAGTACCAGACATTAAATCAAGTCTCTGTCCTCAAATGAAGCCCTTGCGCCCAGGAAACCTTGCTGGCAAGTTAGCTATTACCTGTAACCTAATCATACATGTAACTCGGTGTTGGCAGACTAGCTGTAATTTAATGCATAATGTAATGCAATGTCAAGATAGCAGTTAAACAGGCATTTTTTTTAAATATTAATATATGTGAATAGTAAGCTCAGACATAAGCATACAACTTTCAGTTCTTAGTCAATCACTGCATATTTCATTTTTAAGCAATGAAAGAATGATTCATAAATAGAATAACATGAGTGGAGAGCTCAAGAAAAAATATCTGAATTTCAGACGGGCATTGCACCCACGACCTTTCAGACACGAGTCGAAAACTCTAGTGATAAAATAATGTGCACTTTAATTTCATGCTCAGTGCAAAAATCATTTTGTTAAGCTATGCTAACCAAGTCACCTTAAATAATTATTAATTTTTTCTGATTCATGTCCAAATAGTTGAGTTGACATGGTGTCAATCAGTACTTATTGTAAACAAAAATATGAGTACTTACCAAAGAATGTTCAGATTCTCTTGGATTATTTCATCAAATAATTATGATTTAAAAACCTAAAACGTTTCAGTCTTCCCTGGCTGTATGCCAATTTGAATGTTCCATCATCTGTAATGTAGTTTGGTAGTTAGAAACTATTTGCATAATTTCTAGCCAAATTGTCTGTTATCTTTGTGGTGTATTATGTCCAAATTGGTCAGACTTCACCCACTCTTTCTTTTATTTGGATTTAAGAATTTGTTTGTTTATTTTCAAGCAAAAAGAAAAATATTGTTCTTTGTTTGAAAATTAGTGTTAGTTTTAATCTTTCCCAACCTTATTTTTTGATCTATATATTCACTGTTCATTTTTTGGGATGTCTAGACATATTGAAAAGGGAGCATTTCCTTTTCCTCTCTAAAACAGGGCAAACTGTACAATAGTCTTAACTAATGTTGCAGGCAGGTTTTCTCACACAGTCAATTTATCGTATTTTCTTGAAAGAGTGCTGTGACATTTGCTAAATTTTTTGCTTCAGTTTTGATGTAGCTCTTACATGAGGACAACAAATACGGGGACTTTGTTTGGGGATGGTGCTTATTTAGAGCTTGTTTTTTAAAACCAGCAAGGCAAAACATGGTCTTTCTTTCTTAATTTGTTTAAGAATGATAATGATAGAACAGGAAGAACTCAATAAAAGATAAATAAAAAACAACCCTTGACAATCCATTTAAAATTCAGTAAATTCAGTCAGTCCAATTAAAGTGAGAACTACACAGAGATTTTTTTCAAATGATTTGCCTTAGAATGTCTTCAACATGCGTGCTTGATGTCTGTGTCTCTTCTAAGGCCATGTCTGCCTTTCAAACTAAAAATCAAGCAATGTCATAGACTTGAACGTACCAGATAGTGATAATGTTAATTTATTACATTTATCTGTATGCCGTAGAAGTCTTTTTTAATTAATTGATTCTAGATAATTATTTTGATTAATTCTTATGTTGCACTGAAGTGTATGGAATAATAGTTACCTTTTTTTGGCAATTATTATTCCACACACTGGGAATTGCTCCAGGTGATGGTTCTAGAAGGTGTGAATCATTATTCTTGTTAATTTCCTCTACTTTGTTATTTATTAAAGGTAGTTTGGAATTGATTATTAGTAACTAACAGCTGACCGAATGTCTGTTTGATTTCTTTGATGATGTTTTCTTGTTAACCCATTTGCTCCTGGGAATTTTGCCAAGAAATGCTTTTTGAAGCTTGTCTAGCCTTTCAAGCTAAAACTTAAGCCCTTTACAGTTTGTATGTTTCATGACCTTTGGATCCTGATGCAAAATATTAGCTTCTGAAGATCAGACTTGCGCCGAAAGTAAAATATCGATATAGTTTTTGAGTTTAGAAGTGATGCAACAGTCTTGACTTCTTGTTTTTGCTTTCTCTCCATGCCTCCTTCTTATTTATTTATTTATTTTTTTGCTTTCTTGGCCTCGTTTTTTCTTTTGCTGGGTATTTAGTAGGCTTCATTTCATTGGGAAATAACAAACACCCTGCTATACCAAAATTAGTGACATTCATTGCCTCATTTTTCATAAAATACATGTACATAAATGTTGTAACGGCTTGTGAACAATACAGCTTTCTCTCCACCCTCCTCGTTGCTAGGGATATTTTGCAGCCTGAGAGGTATCAAATTCAGCCCAAAAAACTCTATGCTGATGTAATGATGATTATTTGTCTGGAATCTGGTCAATACTGATGGGTTGATGTAGTTATTATGTTTTTTTATCTATCATTTAAATATAAAGGCAATAATCTATTAAAAAAACAGCCATTATTCATGGTATATTTTTCTTCTTTACAAGAAGAGTTTGAGTTTTGCTGCTACTTTGTGATGTAGACCAGTAGGAATATAAACTTGAACAAATTTACATCTAGAACCCCATGACCACCGGTTTATTTCTTTAGACCTCGATTTACAAACTGTACATCATCAGTATGGAATTATCCCTAGTGGTAAGGATTGAAGAGAGTTAGCTGTATTTGCTGGCAAATTTTGTAACAAACAATTTTTTTCATCTCTTTGACACTTGTTACAATGGGGTTGCCCTGCAAAGGTGGGGCTGTTTGTATTGATGAGAAAAAAAGGTCTTGACAGTGTAAATTATCTGAATGATTTAAAAGTTACATGTACAGTTGTACATTCAAAAATCAGGTAATTTTGAGCCAAAGAAAAAAATTAATGACCTCTAGCTTGGCTAGCTAGTATGCCCTGTTTGCAATCATTCCTCCCATACGTCAGTTGAAGGGCTTCATACAATTACTCATTTCCTTTTTGGAGGGGACCTCTTTTGGCTGCAAAATCACAGGTGTTTCTCCCGCAAAATAATTATTCCCAGTGGTAAGGATTGAGGAGAGTTCGCTGTATTTGCAGGCTAATTTTGACTAACAAACAATTTAATTTTTTTCATCTCTTTGACACTTGTTACAATGGTGTTGCACTGCAAACTTAGGGTGGGGCTGTTTGTATTGATGATACTGTATCCTAGTGAAAGAATATCATTTTTTTGTTTTTAGAGTTAACGTTCCTCGCTGAATGGTGGTCAGGACTGGATATAAAACTGTATGGAACAAAGGAAGATTTTGATAAACTTGGAAAAGAAAGTGCAATTATTGTGTGTAATCACCGCAGTGATGTTGACTGGCTAATTGGTTATACACTTGCAGACAGAGCAGGAGTATTGGCGGTAAGAACCTACCAGCATTGGTATAGATGTACGGTCAATCAATAGATCATCAGTGATACATAGAATACTGTTTTTTTGTTGTTTAATCATACAAATGTAGGTGGAGCAGTGAAACAATACCTTTACCCTTTGATTTTGCAATCATGCAATTTTACACAATAATGTGCTTACCGTGAAAATGTACTTGTACCAAATTAAAGGCTTGTTCGGCCTCTGAGCAATTCAATTTCACTGCTGAATTTTTAAACTAAGACTTCCTAGTCTGTATTTTTGAGTTACAAACTTCTGCCTCATGACTTCTTTGAAATTTATTTAACCCATTCGCTCCTGGAGATTTTGCCGAAAAACGCGTTTTGAAGCTAGTCGAGTGGTTTTCTGGTCGCTGTCGTGCTATAAAGAGCTAAAACTTACCACAAACCGGTTTACAGGTCGTACACTTCGCGGCCTTCTAATCCAGATGCAAAATATCAGCTTGCGAAGTTCGGGCATGCGCAGAAAGCAAAATTTCGAGATAGTTTTTGGCTTTAAAAGTGACACAGCAGTCTTGACTTTTACTTTTCGCTTTCTCTCCTTCCTTCTTTTTTCGCTTTTCTTGCCTCATTTTTTTTTCTCTTGCTGGGCATTTAGTAGGCTTCAAAAGATTTTCATAGAGATTTTCAGGTCAATGTCACGTGGTTTTTTGCTTCTTTCTCGGGTGTCCTTGACTGAATTGTGCTCATTCTGGTATGGTTTGAAAGATCTCTTCACTCTGCACAAGTTAGCGAAGGAAGTTGTCGGTAACCGTTAAAACTGATGACGTCACAAAGGGTAGAAAGGACCTGGATCTGCACGGGCGGTTACGGGCGGTTCAGGGGCGAATGGGTTAATATCATCAAGAACTCTTGGAAAAAGCCCATTATTTTCATTGTCAAAATGACTTGGCTGGCCATGGTCCTGCTGGCCTTTTCTGACTTTTGAGAAGTGCTCCATGTTAGACCTCATGTCTACATGCTTCATGGTCTCCCCTCACAGTAGACCAACATTCATTTAAACATTGATTCTAAAGTAATGCTATTTTCCATTTTGTAGACCTGCAAGTGTTACATGAAGGGTTACTTGAAATATTTACCGATAATTGGCTTCTCGTGGTGGTGCACTGAATATGTGTTTTTGCGTCGAAACTGGCAGAAGGATCGAAAAGTTCTGGAATCAAGTTTGAGCACACTTGGGGACTTTCCCTTTCCATTTTGGGTTGGTAGTTCTTTGTTGTTGTTGTTGTTGTTATTATTATTATTATTATTATCATCATCATCACCATTTATTAATATTATTTTTGATGTTCATTTCTTGGTTGTTTGTTGAATTGTAGGCTGTTTCTTTTAGCTCAACATTACCTGATATAGGATAGCACCATCTGCCTTTAGAACAACTTGGGTCCAGCCTGCACCACAGACAGAACAAAACTTCTGGTTAAGTCTTTCTGCAAAGCAGCTCCAAAATCCTTGTCCAGGACAAGGATATTGGCACTGCTTCGCTGACTTTACTAACTGTGGTTAGATTACACCCGCGGTGCAGACTAAACTTTTTGCCACTAAAGCATTTCCTTCATTTTGCAAAACAAAGGCAAAAAATGGAGTCACCATCCTTTGTAAACTGAGTAGGTAAAGCACACTTTTTAAAGTCATTCTCTTGTTTACTCAACAAACGTTCTCAAACTCAACTTTTCATGTCAAATTTTTCCAGCACAAGGCACAAGGATGAGAAAAAAAGGTCTTGAAAAGGAATTTTGTCTGAATGATTTAAAAGTTACATGTACAGTTGTACATTCAAAAATCAGGTAATTTTGAGCTTAAGAAAAAATGACATTTAGCTTGGCTTGCCAGGATGCCCTGTTTGCAATCATTCCTTGCACACCTCAATTGAAGGGCTTCATTCAACAACTCATTTGCTTTTTGGAGGGGATCTCTTTGCATGAATTATAGCCCTTCAATCCCAAGTAAGGATAGCCAACACTTTGTGACACCACCACTGGTTTCCCCGCCAAATGACGTCTGGGAAAAGAGGACAGAAATTCCATACTGATGACGCAGCACTACCCAGTGCTGGGTAGTGCCTCTGATTGGCCAAACCGCATGGGAAATTTGCTTCAACCAATCAGAAGCACTACCCAGATCTGGATAGTGATGCGTCATCAGTATGGAGAATTTCTGTGCTCGTGTGTCAGACGTCATTTCGTGGGGAAACCAGTGGTGGTGTCGCGAAGTGTCAGATGTTTTCTCAGGCTAGCATGGCAGGCGCTGGTTGTTGTTTGTTTGTTTTTAGTTAGTTTTTATAGAGCATGCAAGAGGAACACATGAAGGAGAGAGGAGGCCTCCTCTCCTTTTCTCCCCTCTCGCACCTTTGATATTTCTCCTTTTGCGCTAAAGAAATGATGCCTGCTACCCAGGGAAAAGTAAGGACCAAGAAATCCAAAACAGGGTTTTATAACTTTTTCACTTTCAGTTGGCAATTTTTGCGGAGGGAACAAGATTGACAAAAGCAAAAGTAGAAGCTAGTGTAGAATATGCTCGAGCAAACGGCCTACCAGAGTTAAAGCACCATCTTCTACCAAGGTCCAAGGGATTTGCTTTGACTGCACAATACTTCAAGGACAAAGGTGAGATGGCAGTCACTAACCAGAACAACACAATATGACAGTTTCACAATTTATCATTTCCTAAATAAGAAAGGAACGAAAGTCATGTAGAAATCTAAGCATTATTGTAAATTTCCTAATGTTTTAACCACAGTTCCTCAAACATGAATGTAAGTGGGAGTAATGGTTATCTATTTGTGATAAATAAAAAGATGGTCTTTTTTAAGCTTGTTTGCAACATGAGAAAATCCCTAACTTCCGAAACAAAGGGTAACAGAATAGCTGAACTACTTGTTCTAGAGAAGCGAGTCACTGCTAAGCCCAAAGACCACATTAAGGAAGTTACATATATACTCTATCTCTTGACTATTCCTTGAACTAAAGATATAGTTATTGTTGATCCTGGCACTATACAAGACGCATGTCGCGTGTGAACCTAGTATATGGCCTTGCTCTCCGCAAGTCTCTCCGTTTGTCAGTGGATAGGGTGCTTGCCCAGTGTTTTGGGTGTGGGGGAACCCGCTTGGGAATGTACTTGTTTTACTTTATTGATCCCATGACTGTTTCTGATATAATGAATACCACATGTTTCTCTAATTAAAATGTTTCAAAAATTCGTGTTAGGAAGAAGGCTTTTGAAGCTTTAGAGGAAGAAAAACAACAACGAAAATATGTGAGTTGTTTAAAATATAAGTTGACTCCTTAGATGCCTTTTGTAATGTTTTTTTTTAGTGCCCGCAGTCTATGATTTCGAAGTTGGTTTTCCAGAGAACAAGGAACCTAACCTGACTAAAATGCTGATGGGTGAGGGCAGTGATGTTCATCTCTGGGTGAGGTAAGACCAGTACAGTACAAATTGAAAGTTTCTGTTTGTTTATTCATCATACAATCTAAAATGAAATGTTTCACATTTAGAATAATCATCCTGGTGTCTCAACACAAAAAAAATCCCAGCTTAGAAAATACTGTCTAATTCATCTTATCCAAAGAGGTACCCAAATCATGGTCTTTACTGCCCCCGCCGACCGGATCCTCCCCCTCGTTTTGAATCCTGTTTACCCCCTTGGGGCTTAAAAGCCATAAAGTAAATGCTGCTCACAGAGCAGAGTTAATTTAATGAAAGATATTTTTGATTATGTTATGTGTATGGAGGGCTTCTTCATCGTTTGTCTCACGATTGCCACTAGAAAAATTCGTTATACGTCAATCACAAGCAACCACAGAATTACTAATATTCCCGCTTAAGCGACAGTAAATTAACTGTAAGACCAGCATTACGTGATCGCGATCGAGGTGGGAGCCCGGGAAATGTTGGGAGGTTTAAACCCCCTTTCCCCCCCCCCCCCCCCCCCCCCCCCCCCCCCCCCCCCCCCCCCCCCCCCCCCCCCCACAAACACACCAAACCTATCATAATTAATATTTTTGTGTTTAGCTCACCGTGTTGGCGGGTGGTGGGGTTGGTATGGGACGGTAAAAGAGAGGTGTGTTTGGTGGTAGTTAGTGAATCATATGAAAAAACAACAACCAACACAAAATTGCTAATTTCCCCCCATAAGGGGCATGAAAATACCGGTGAAGCACGGAGTACGTTGTCGGGGGCGGGGGGGGGGCCCGGGAAATTTTGGGGGGTTTAACCCCCCTTCCCCCCCCCCCCCCCCCTCCCCCCCCCCCCCCCCCCCCACACATTGAACGAGCCAAACAATTATCATCTTATGGGAAACTTTTTGAGAGGCTAGTTCCAGAGTTCAGTTGGGCTTGAGGTTGTCATGGAAAATGTCAGCGAATCCTGGTTTGAGTTTAAGGCTTTCAAATCAATTAAACGCGAATCAACTCACAGGCGTTAGAAAAGGCGAATGAACTTTAAGCTTGGAAGCAAAAAGCGTTATAACTGCTTTTAATGTGGCCCGAACCTTTTTCTATGTGTGTTGGGTATGTTTTTGAATCACGTTTTTCAACAGGAACGATAACTTTCTCAAATGTGTTAGCGTAGCATTTTAAGGTGAAATTTGACCACCATTTTGCGCAGCGAAGGTTATGGTCGCGATTGACTTCAAACTTGCAGATATAAAACTAGAGAACTCTGAGGCTTATTAGACATACTATTGATCTCTGTCATGTTTGCCTGTATCTCTTGTTGTACGTAGGCGATTCCCGCTTCAAGACATTCCTTGTGACACCGTTGAAGAAACTTCAAACTGGTGTAGGAAAGCCTTCCAAGAAAAGGTAATGAGTTCATTGTGAACATTGCACATGTAGCGAGCTTTTCTGATTGTCCATTGGTTCGTAACTTCGAAAACTCATGTTCTGTTACTGCGAGGGTCACGACTCTCGCGCGCATTAGTATCAGTAGTCTGCTACACGGCCGTTTTTAGTGTCGTCACGCAACACTAAAAACGGCTGTGTAGCTGTGTAGCAGACTATAGTATCAGTAACGAGGATAGCATCTATAGGTCAATCATCTGTTTGGGAGACGATAAGTGTTCCGGCAAATACATGTACCTCCTCCGTTGCTAATATTGAACTTATGCAACATGACAGCAGAGGAAAGAAGACTGTGACGGCAATCCTCGTGTGGCAAGCGTGACATTAAATACTGGTCCACGGCTCCAATGACTGCTTAAGGAAGAATTATGTACCACTGATGTTAAGAAAACTTCCGAGCGCTTTTGAATTTAATAAAGATGAAAACACCCAACAGCACTCGATACCCGGTTGAACCTTAGTTTCGCGTAGAACTTGGTGACAAAATGAACACAGCAATCAAAGACGTGATTTCTGATTGGGTACTTTTCACTTTCTCGTGATTGGTTGAAACGCTTTGGGTTCTTATTAATCCATAGAACTTACCTCCGGGAACTGTCATGGGGAATTCTTTTGTTCTTTTTTACGTATCTATGGAACTTTCACCGAGAAAATTTCACTCTGGGGAAGGCCATTTCACACAAAAAGTTTTCTTCCCTTTGGGCAACGCCTGTTTGCGCATGGGTAAAACGGCTAGTGTAACGGTAGCCACTGATAAAACTAAAAAACAAAACCCTTTGTAACGCAAAATGTATTATATTTTTAGGACAAAGGAATGAGCTACTTCGTTGAACATGGTAGATTTCCCGCCGAGAGATACGAGTACCCTAGGAAATTAAGAAATCTTATAACTTGTATAGCGTGGAATGTTGTTTTGAGCCTTCCGCTTTTGTGGTATATTATCTCTGTTATTATCTCTGGCTCCATAACTTCGTTTATTATTGCTGGAACAATCGCCCTTATAGGTAAGTTTTATCCAAATAAATTTAAAACAGGAATACTAGGGGGAATCATCAAGAGAGGATAAAGGGGACAGAGAAGGCATCCCCCATACACACTCTATTCCTCGAGTTATTTTTAGAATTGGGATAAAGTTACCTCGCGGGCTGCGTGGATGTTTCGTGGAGGTTGCGCATGACTAAACGCCGTGCAAAACATGTCGGGCGAAAGGCAATGAAGGCGTGAAGAGATCGAGAGAATTTCTGAATATTGAAGCGAAATGAGTCGGCGCGCACCTGGGAAAAGGGAATCGCTGGACTCTTTGACAACCCGTGAAATCAGTTTAACTCGAAGTTGTCGTAACCTCGGTGCTTTAATAAAATGAGAAATTTCGCCGGTCTATTGAAACCGGTCGTTTGTATAATAAAGCAAGTAGGACGCCAAGTGTTATTTTTGTTGAATAATAAAAGAATGAAAAAGAATAAATATCAAACCAGAAATTACTCTCTTCAAACTGTAAATTATAAATGATCCTGAGAGAATATTCAGTGTGTTAAGGATTTCNAGTTTAACTCGAAGTTGTCGTAACCTCGGTGCTTTAATAAAATGAGAAATTTCGCCGGTCTATTGAAACCGGTCGTTTGTATAATAAAGCAAGTAGGACGCCAAGTGTTATTTTTGTTGAATAATAAAAGAATGAAAAAGAATAAATATCAAACCAGAAATTACTCTCTTCAAACTGTAAATTATAAATGATCCTGAGAGAATATTCAGTGTGTTAAGGATTTCCCTGCTGTACTGTTAGCTCTATACAAGAGAAGAAGGGCGATTCTTTTTTAATTTCCGTTTCGCTGACACAGCTTTAGCAGAAATCTCTCTTTAGTCGTTTTCGTTGACAAAACAAATAGCAAGATCGCTCTCCGCGTATTCCGCCATTTTTTTCTACGTCAATTCGTGAAGGACGCGTGGCTCTGAGCGTGGGTCATCCACGCGGAACACGTTCGCGCTATGTGATTGGCTGTTGTCTAATCCCCCTTGGGATCTATGGTCTTAAAAATAACTCGAGACGAATTACCTATGGAATAGGGTGTGTATGGGGATGCCGTCTCTGTCTCCTTTATTGTATCTTGGAATCATACAGAACACGACGCCTTTTATTAAAAGCGTGTTTCTGAACGACAATATTTGCTCGTAGATTTATTTTGTTTAAATTTTTTTTGGCACACCTCGGTTCCGCTGATCACGAAATTGACAGGCTCAAATGTGACGCTATGAGACAAATTCAGAAGCTGAAAAGCGGGATTTTCTGCTTGCTTATCCCTCCTTTGAGGCAACCTGTGTAGTTACATCTAACTGCAGCGCATCCTACTGGCATGTTATACCTTTTGAGAGAAGACTAAGCCGAATGGATTGCCTTAATGGCGACAAATTTGAACGTTTCCAAGAATTCAAAAAAAATGGCGTGTGTTCCAGTCACAAAATTTTTTCGCAGAGGTTCTCGTAAATGTCTACTTTCAATGAACAAAGATAACAATTTTTTAGGTTTTATTTTTGTAACCAAGATTTTGAAATAAATAACTTAAGTTGTTGTAGGTTATGGGCACTTAAACCTTACCTTTCTGTTTATAATCCCACAGCTTACCCCCTTTAAGACAGTTTTGTGTACACACAGGTTCCCGTTCCTTGAAAGTCCCGGGAAATTAGACGCGTTTTAAAAAAAACATTAGTCTTGTTTTGCCGGATTTCTTTCGTTAGCTTAAAATTTCTGAGCCTTAATTCCCAAAATCAGCATGCCCAATTTGAATATTTGACGCAAACATTACGCTGAAAGGGACAGAAAAGAGCTTCAAGAAACAGCCACCTGGAACTATTAGTGGAGATTACGATATCTTTTTGTGTTTGGTCACACTCACTTTCACCACTTATCCTTGACTTCTTTATTTTATTTCATTTCTAGGTTACATTATGATCAAAGTGCTGCTACATTTTAGCGACTCCAAGAAAGGCAGTAGTTTTGGACTAAAACCGTCTAGTAACAATGGGGTCAAGAAGCAAAGCTAAACAGCAATATAGAGAGCTTTAGATTCTGAGACAAAAACTACCACTGACGAGTACGAGATTTTCTCAATACTGAGTATTGCTCACGCGTAAACCAGCGTCATTTTGGCGGGAAAACGTGATAGCCGTTGTCATTCTACTACGAGTTTTAGCGAGAATGTCGTACTGGCGGGAACAAGTTATCAAATGTAAGAAGTTTTATCATTTTGCTATCGGGAAAGGGCTTAACCTCGTTCAGTATAAATAACCGTTCTAACTTTTTTGGTGCAAAAAAGTAAAATGAACTTCTCCGGGGTGTCTCTTTTTTTAGAACATGCACAAAAACTTTGAGTTAAATCTCGCCCTGTTACTCGTTCTCGTCCTCAAATCTAGAGCTCTCTAATAACCCAGGCTACGTTCACATTTTCTCAGATTAGTTGCCACGCATCCATGCAACCACGCCTTTACAGTGAAAGAATTTAGTTGGTCATGTTCACACTGCGCGTTCAAATTTTGAAACGGCTAGGCGTCTAAATTTTCGCGCGGTTAGGGTGATTCTATGTGAACGAAACACCTAAACGCACAAATCTTCCACCGGTCGAAAATTCGTCCGGTGAACGTAGCCTCACTTAAAAACGCAACAGTGTAGTGAATTTTGGAATGTTTGTCCTGCAAACAGAACGTCTTTATTTTTTTTACTTGTTTTGGGAAACCCACTTTAGCAACGAAATCCAATTTTTAAATTGAAGGTTATAACATGAACAATACACGTGAATTTGCGAATTTTTATAGAACTTTTTAAGGTGATTTATTTGTGGAAGAACCTAGTTTACACATAGTTATGGGAAGAAGTTTACATGTTAAAGTGTTTAGGTGGAATTTTTTCAATTTGAGTGTATAGGATTTGATTTATATATAGGGCATTGCCTTCTACACACATTTATTGAACTAAAAAACGCCATGTGCTGCTAATTTTTGTCGATTTACGGACTTTCCTCCTAGAACGCCACAAGCGCTTTGTGTTTGCCCAGGAGAGGAAGAGAAATTTTATCGAATAAATTGCATCGATCGTCATGAATATATTTATTTTTTTCAAGAGAAAATCTCAGATCTTTATATTGTAGAAAATCGTGTTTGTGTTAATTTATGGTCTTGTGAATTAGCCAAAGAATGGGTAAGAAAGCAAATAGCTAATAGGCCTTCCAGAGTTAGTCCAAACCTCTGTTTCAAAGCGAAGCTAAGTGGGAAGCCATTGATAAGGAAGTGACTTCTTATTCTCATACAGTATATCTGATTTTTACCAGAAAGATTTTGCACTAAGCCTCGTTTTGAAAGTGGGAGTTTTTGGAACTAGGAAATAGCCTAAACGTTTGACAAATTCAGACTTTAAAACCTGAGTCCAACTCAAACACTCACCAAAAAGAATCTTGGTTTAAAACACTTTTAGTAATTTGGTGGCTAATGTATCTTGGTATTTGATAAAATAGATTTTTTTAAAAGAGATTTCAATTCATATACTAAATATATATGAATTAACTTGAATAGAGTGTTTTCACATGACGTCACGGCGGCCATATTGGTGTCCCAAAACAATGAAACGGCGGCCATGCTGGTGTCCCAAACCAGTCCTGTGGGAGTTGAACTCTTTTCTTATGCAAACGCTTTCTTTTATTCCAATAAATTTGCATAGATGCTGGCCACGTGAGTGAAAACACTATAAGTAAGTAAACTAGTTATAGTTGTCACTAAATCTGCCCCCGACCTTTTAAAACCCGAATGAAGACTCCTTGTGGTTGTCCATGTATTTGCCATGAACCTTTGTGAACTGACAAATCAAGTTCTTTAATACCAAACAATTGCAGTACTGCTGAAGAACTTTTTAACTCTATAGAAATATGTATCTCGCAATAACCTTCGCGAAACTCGGTTTGGTAACGGCACTGAAGTTAAGCCCTGTCGGTCGGGGTTACGAACTGGACGGGTGACCCACCGCGAATATCGTGTTAAGACTGTTAAAGGTCCATACGTTGTTCTTTCTTTTCTTCTTCTTCTTTTTTGCGTATTATGTAGTGTTATTGTTAACAGTGTATTGAAAAGCACATTTAGCATTATTTCGCCGCCCGCATTTAGAAAAAAACAAAAACAAAGAACAAATATGGCCCAGTTCATTTTTTCTGGCATGTCCTTGTATCAAATAAAATAATCGGGATTTCGCAATAAACTAACCCTAAAAACACATGGACCACTGTTTATTAAACCCTGAATACCTTAATATAGAACAAAACCCGGTTATTTCACGATAGCACCTTTCTTGTCTTTGACTGGGTTTTGAGAAATTTGAGCTATTCCTGATGTGGTTTGAATCGAGTTTGTCGATCCCCCG